TCAGTAGAGCGTCCCCCTCACAACCGGGAGGTCGTGGGTTCGAACCCCGGCCGCGTCATACCAAAAGACGTTAAAAGATGGGAGTTGCTGCTACCTTGTTTGGCGTTCAACAATAACCGATAGAGCAACGTCGATCTGGCGCTGCTCAGTGGCTGCTGGGCTCACGACCAATTGAGCAAAAAAAAAATTCCATTTTCGGTTTAACTTAATTAAATTTGGAGTGGACTTTAAAAGATTATTATTATAATCGGTATCTTTCACGCGAATTTAGAATTGATCTTGATTTATTTATTTTTAAATCGATTTAAGCTATATTTTAAAGGGAGTGTGGGTAATGACAGACTTTTCCCTGTATCATTTGATTCTAAATGTTTTATGAAGTATATAAGCACAATCCAGCACGTACACAGTACACTTCGATCGCCATCGATCACGACACCTCCTTGCGGTACACCCTGTTAATATACATACCTATGGAAACCGATCCCTTGTGGTTTCACCTCCAGCTCTGTGGAATTCTTTACCCTTGACAATTGGGAATACATCTTCCATTCATGATTTTAAGAGAGCCTTAAAGATACACCTTTTCTTACAGTAGTGTAACAATTCTTTTTAAAGTGTCGGTGTGCACGTAGTGGTGTTATTTTTCCTCAGAGGTGGCCCTCCGGGGGGGGGGGCAGGGGGGGGGGGACAGTGCCCCCCACTTTTTCAGATACCCTTAAAGTGCCCCCTTTTACATAGGAAAAGTGCCCCTTTTATTTTGTAAGAAGTGCCCCTTTTACATAGGAAAAGTGCCCCTTTTAATTTGACAGGTGCCCCTATTACTTAGCAAAAAGTGCCCCCTCCCCTTTTCGCCGAGTGCCCTTTTTATTTTTGACACGTGCCCCTTTTCCTTCGACATGTTCCCATTTTCATTTGCAATACGTGTCCATTTTCCATTCTCATAAATCTTGAAATTATCTTGAAGAAGTGCCCTTTTTAATCTCTAGTAAGTGCCCCTTTTCAGGTACGAGAAGTGCCCCTTTTCACTTTTGATAAGTGCCCCCTTCACCTCTGATAATTGCCCTCTTCAAAACTGAGAGGTGCTACTTTTACTTTGAAAACTGCCCCTTTTTTCCTTTGTAAGAAGTGCCCCTTCTCCTTTTAATAACATCCCCCTTTTTAAACTCGGATGAGCACACCTTTCATTTTAACATGTGCCCCTTTTATTTTCTAATAAGTGTCCCTTTTCCTTATGATAAGTGCCCCCATTAAAAAGAGAGAGAGAGAGAGAGCTCCTTCCCCTTCTCATAACTACCCCTTTTAAAAATCTGAACGGCGCCCCCTTTTCATTCAACAAATGCACATTTTCCTTTATTATAAGTTCCCTTTTACATTTTCATAAGTGCCCCTTTTCATATCTGGTCAGTGCCCCTTTTCACCTCTGATAATTCCTCTTTTAATAATGATACGTGCCCCTTTTCCTTTCTAATAAGGGACCTATCTCCTTTTCACCTCTTATAAATGCCCCTATCAAAATCTGATGGGTGCGCTTTTCCGTCAACAAATGCCTATTTCCTATTTTCGTAAGCGCCTCTTTTTCATCACTGGTGAGTGCCTCTTTTCAGGTGAAAAAATGCCTCATTTCACCTCTTATAAATATCCTTTGCACTTTGACAAGTGCTCCTTTTCTTTTCTAATAAGTGTCTTATCCCTTTCGATAATTGTCCCCTTTTCATGTAATCATTAAACGTGCCCCTTATTTAAAGCGACTAAGAGCAATGTCCCCCAAAGGTCGCTCGCTGCGTTCGCTCGCATTTAAAGATGATATAATTACGTTACTTATCAAAGGTCTTTTAGTCTTCCGTTATGAGAATGTGCTTATATCTTCATCACGATTGGCTTTTTTCCTTTTTATAAGATGTAATTTTTCGCACATTGACCTCACATATCTGTAATTTTTTTCTCGCTCGCTTCGCTCGCTCGTAAATGCATGTTCAGACATCACACCCAACTGGAAAGTTTGATGCTTAAGCGATATATTGTATGATATATGAAGAGAAACAAATATTGAAATCATCCCTGATAATGTAATCACAATGTAGGGGTATATACATGTACCAATGTCTAAAAAATGGTATATTTTCGCTTTGAGATTTCCCACTGTGAGTGCCCTTTTTTTCTAGAAAGTGGCCTTTTTTGTTGGTGCCCCCCCCCTACTTTGGAAGACGCTCGGCCGCCCCTGTTTGTCCTCTTATATATGTTAATGTAGATTGTAAAGCGTACTATTCTAATGTAAAGCGCATATTTTCAAAAGTTTCCATTTCTGCAGGGGATTCCAATTTTGAGAATTCATTGAACTAATAACATCACAAATATTGTTATGATATCAGTCATCAAACAGAACACGACTGTTCAGCTTCCAGTAATCTGAACCCTTTCGAACAGATTTTGTTTTGATTTTTAAAGAAATAAAATATTGCGTCGTGATCAGCTCTCATTGCTGGTCTGATATCTGTGCTACAACTCTTCCTTAAAGAGCTTTTGTCGACCAGCCAATAATCTAATCTTGATGCAAGTTTGAGATATTCATTCTTTCAGTCAAACTGAATATTATTAAAATTAATTCCCCTCCAGATATCACACAATTCGTATTTCTCTAACAATCTACCAAATTTTAGCGGTTTCTTGTAACAGGAACGGCTTGTTCCCTGAACGTTTTGAGTGTCTTGCTTGACATTCAGTACACGGTTCCAGTCTCCTAAAGAAGGAAAGAAGAAAAACAAAAGAAGGTCCCATATGTTTTGTTTGCCATGGTATGAACTTAAGAAGTGTTAACGAAATACATATTACAATAACAAAATTGGTTTGGTTGAAGTCTAATATTTTCCAAATTTAGTATATATACAGTGAGCAGTTTAGACGAATTGTCATTTGTATTTTGTCATGAATGATTGCTTCCATTGTGTGTCCGCACGTCATTACAAGCTTCGTTATAATTATGTTCACACGGAACCGTCGTAGTTTTAAACTTCTAAGTCTCTAATTTTGTTACTCTTCTACAACCTTGAAGTTCAGAAAAAACGAACTAATGCCAAAAACGAGGACCAAAACAACAAGTGTTCAAAGTTTTAAACTTCGAGCTGAGCAAGCAATCTTAGTAAGAACACGGTAGCGAAACCTTGAAGTTTAGTGCGTCATCATGGTACGCAATTGAGGATCCACGACTGCCCGTAGCTATCGTGTTGTACATTTCTGTATTGATAGTTTAAACTGATTATCATCTATGCCTTGTGTATGTCATAATTTTATGTTATGTTAAACAAAAACTCATAAGATCGACCGTGTGAAAAAACTTTGGGTAAACTTAAAGGTAATACAAAGTTTTGGTTTGGGGTCATGAATTTGGTTCAAATGAACATATTTGAAGCATATGCGATTCTACAATATTCAGTGATCGTTGTTGCGGTTGAAATCGAGTCTAAAGTTATGAAATTGTAATTAATAAACTCTTTATATTGTATAGTTCCCTCTCAAGGTCAAAATATTAATTAAGCTATAAAACAATGTTTCCTGACTAAAATATCGACCGATTAACTATTCCCATTTGGAAATTATATATCACAACTACATATTCTGAGAGTTTCATGGTTGCAGTTACCGTTGTTCGGCCGTAGGCGCTATTTGAAATTTTTCAAAATTTATATTCCATTTTTCTCGAAAGCAGAAGTGTTTTAGGGGCTAAATTTTTTTGTGCTTATACATCCACATGGGCATCCAAACAGATCAAAGTTGTAAAGAATCACTATCCACCCAATTTTCAAAATTTCCCAAAACTTTGTATTACCTTTAAAGCATCAAATTGGCTGGTTTTTCTCAGTAACTTCAATCCTATATACTTATCTTTCCAAGGGAGAAGACATATTTGTTTAATCACGATTTCCTACGAAAGGATGGGGGCTTCTTTTATACCCATACCAGCCCCTTTTACCATAGGCCATTACAATTTATTTCTTTCAAAATGAGGAAGAACATGTGAAATACTGCAAGCGGGGGCGTCCAGCCAGGAAAAAAGCAGGAAAAAGAAAGAAAAGAAAACAAAATCTTGTAGTGAATAACGAGGTAAGACTGTATCACACTATCTAGATTCTAAAGTGCTAACTAATTTGCTACTTACCATTTTGAAGTCCTTCTCCTTCTGCTACGTTCTGAGAATTTTCTAACATGTACATTACCTGTGTTTTCTCGATTCATATGAGCAGGGATTATATCTCGGGTGCATGTATGATTAAAACCCTTTTTAGAAATAAGTGAATTTTTATTAACATATTGGTACATCTAGCGAATTAGGAGGGGGAGGACCCTCAAGATACGTTTAAAAGTTGCCAATTTGTGTTTGATCGATCCCACGATCAAAAATTCATAACTTAAACAGAGACTTTAATCGGAATTTATTAAATTTTCCCGCTGCACCCGAAACGTTTTACACGTCTTTGCTTTCAGTAATGTTAACACGTCGATCTCTGCTCGAATCTGTTTATTTCTAGTAACATCAGGCCGGAATTCCCCTTTAATTTCGAGATACTTCTTCCATATGAAATTAATATTTGGTGCTGTTGTTCTGATTAATTATATTTCACTAAATGCTGATGAGTTTATTTTACTCTTTTTAAAGCAGATGTTGACCCATATAAACAGGCTGGATTGAAACCCTTTCTATCCGTTGCTATACGCCTATAGCATATACTCCCTGCATTTCTAAGAAGGACTACTACACTTTACTTCTTCAAAAAACTTCCGAAATCATACCTCTACAATTTATTCTTGTTATTTTGTTGATTGGATACGGAACAGCGCCTTGTATACACTGGAAATGTGCTATATAAATCCACTTATTATTATCATTATTGTTATCATTATAAATATTATTATTATTATCATTATTATTATTATATTACAAATACTTGTATCGAATTACCACATCAGATTTTATAATTTTAATCCCAGTATCATGAACGGAATGAAAATGAAGAAGAGTTTTGGAAAAACTCACTCAGTTGTCCAGCTTCTCCTTATTCTTTGGATGACATCCCTCATCCACATTGCAGTTGGGGGTAAGTACATTTGTTTTAAATGTTTACAATTGATTTGTAATGTTTTGTTGGAAACATGAATAAATTAAAATTGAAAAATTGTAGTAACATTAAATAAAAGGTATACCGGTTACGTATTTATCTGTTTATCAATGTGTATAGGCCTAGATTTTCGGGGAAATGTAAATGTTCATCTATCACTGTGTATTACACTGTCGCTAATATAGTTGGAATATTTTTGTTTTACCCCAATTTATGGAATTATTTTTAAAATAATTTAAAAATGATAGATCTAGATAATAGTGTACATAATGAGAAGCGAGTAAACAATAATATTCATCATTCTTTATGGTTTTAGATTTCTTTACTCCGAGCTTCTTATGACTCCCTGGACGTTAGAAGAGTAATATTTTGTCAAATATGTAAACCATCTTGAAATTTCGTGTTTTACTTTTTTTTAAACGCCGGAGGGCTCCTATATAGGCTAATTTTAATTAATAGGTCATACCAAAATATGGTGCTTTTATCCACCGAGTAAGGGTAATTTCATTAAGCCACCTGACTTCATGAAGTCGGGTCCAAGCAACAAATTTTGTCAATATGAAGTCGTATGTCTGCATCTCATGATAGGCCAGTCATTATATTCTGTAATGAACATAGATTGCTTCCCATATAAATTTTGTCCATACGATTTTTAGGGGAAATGCCCCCACTCTTTAAGGGGCTTCTTATTTAACCAATCCCTTGTGATCTTTCTCGTGTTTGTAATGTCCAATCATACTTTCAACCAACGAAATGTTGTGCGTGAGGTAGCTTTTGGGAGCTCTGACATATACGGCGAGGTCAAAAACTTTTTGGGGAATGAACTTTATGGTCTAGGTAACTTGTCTCAGATTCTGAAACAAAATTCTGGATTTAGCTCATGCTGCAATGATAATTATAAACCTTTAGGTCAGTCAGGAACCCCGTGAATTTTACAAGCCAATCGCCTGTCTGATTATCAAGATATTTATGATTGGAATTACAAATTTTGAAAACCGTAACTCGAAGATTTTTACTTTTTTGAGGCACTTCTTGATCATTTTGAAGCGCATTTTTTTTTTAGGACTTCACTAATATTACACCACATCACACACACTGATAACACGTAGGGCCGTGTATCTCAGATTTTACATTGTAAAACGATCCCTTTAAGTCGGTCAAATCGTATGGATAATATAGGTTTTTTTAGGAGAGTCTCCAAAATTAGTCAGTGCTTATCCAACAATCTCAAGTTGAAGGATTGATCAGAATCATCTACAGATGCGAAAGTTACTTGTTTTTCTTTTAATTTCTTGTTTTTCTTTCATTCTTAAAAAAAAAAAAATCTGACAGATTATTCAGCAACTTATCTTCCGGAAGGCGAATCACATTTCATCTCCTTTCCACACACCTCTGAAATACGGTTGTATGAAGCAACCTTGCTACAAACAAACGCCACGAATGGATTTCAAGTTGTGCTTCAAAATTTGCGAATCTATGATGATGATAGTAAAGTCCAAATAGGAACAGGTAACGACCCATCTGATATACGGTCTGTTATCACAACTATCCGTGGACATACACACGACGCTCTTGATCATGTTTATGTAGATAACAATGAGATGTGGTTTGCCGCCATAGGATCAGGGCTAGACCACGGTGTTGGTATTACTGCCATTGATTTGCTGAGTGAGTATAATTGCATCAATCGGATTATTACTGTTCAATTCCTTGTGGATTTTTTCCACTAATAAAATTACTCGAGGTAACAGAAGTTACATATAAATGGCTTTACTGTTTAATAGACAGTGACACCGCTAGATATAAAACAGGACGTGGGAAGGCTGCCCGAATACAGAAGTACATATCCCACCAACTTCAACAAACATTTTCCAACACGATTAAGAAGAGCGTATTCATCGATCTAGGTTGAAAACTACATGTACAGTTCAAGATCTGCCGACATTAATCTCTAATAAATGAGTATCCCACCTCTCGCCAATACCAACAGCCTGTAGCGTAATTATTAAGTCGGGCTCCCTTTCATTAACACGTAATAATAATATTAACACAAAAGAGCATATGCAATAGTCTATGTGTCAGATCAATTGTAACTGAAAATGCATCAGTTTATCTTAATTGTCATTATACAGAAGCAGAGATTAGGGTTATTATTATTAAAAGATTATGTTTATTATCAGAAGTAGGTGAATACTCCTAAAACACACATCGTCCTTTTTCTGTTTCAGATTTCTTTCCTTGTTTGGGATCGATCATGAACGTGTCAGTAACGTTAGTTTGCGATGGATATTACGACTGTGACAATTATGAGGATGAATCATCATGTAGTAAGTAACAGAACAGCCCCTAAGTTTCGATACTGAAATTCTTTTAGACTACATCCCCATGTTCTGACGCATTATGTTCCGCTGCCTACTATATACATGATATAGAATACAACTTAGGCAAATTTGCATAAATCCTTATTAGCACATCCCTCATTAGTTACACCAGGGGTCTGTTTCATAACACTTGTTGTGATGGACCCAATATACTTCCATGTACTTGACACGTTGTTGCAATAAAGAGAATAGCTAGGGCGTGTAACTTGATTCTTAATGCCTACTTTAATCTCTTGTGGTGTACAAACGTAGTTATGGGAATATAATTCAACAACTGTGTTGGTTACCGTACCCTGTAAACCAAACAGACAAGAAAAATATTCATAAGATCAATGTATCCACACATGGAATGTTAGATTGTAGTTTCAACTCCTGTTAAACGATTTTCACATTAATTGTGATGAGTAAGAAATAATTAAGAGTTTTCTTTAATTATATCATGCTGGTATTTCACAAAGTGTATTTTGAAATTAATGTTTTTCTTCAACTAGAGAATGAATCCAAAAAGTACTTAAAACAAAAGTATGAAACATATAAAACATGCATGTGTCCTGATCATGATTGCATAACACTATTTCCATATGAAAGACCTAACTTTAAACCTAAGCGTGTGCCTAATACCCCCTTCACATACACGGATTTTTCTTACGAGTCCTTACGGATCGCACAAATTCACGGATCTTTCACGGATCCTTACGATTTGGCCACGTTTACGACCGGTTTAAGAGTTATTACGAGCTGTTTGCGGTTTTATTACGATGTATTTACGGCAACAGTACACGATTTGTTACGAGTTGTCACGGATAACTACGAGCAACGGTGTAAAAGAGAATATATATATATATATATATATATTTTTAGTCTAAAAAAAAAATCGCAACGACTCAGCCAGCGGCTGAATAAGCGGGGGGGGGGGGGGGGGGGGGGGGGGGGAGGGGGGCTGATAAGAGGACACTTTTTTTTGTTTTTGTTAAAAAAAAAAATCGCAACGACTCAGCCAGCCGCTGAATAAGCGGGGGGGGGGGGGGGGGGGGGGGTGGGAGGGGGGGGGATAAAAGGACACTTTTTGGTGGGGGGGGGGGGGGGGGGTTAGGTCACCTTTTTAGGTCAGCCATTTGAATATTTTTTTATTTTTTTAAATACAATTTTTAATAATTTTTTTTTGATCGGGGGGTACGCCCCTGTTTTTCAGTACATTTTGGGCGAATTTAGGGCTGATTTTAACATTTTTATTGCCGGTGGGCACGTGCCCCCTGTGCCCCCCTGGATCCGTCCACGTCTACATCAACCAAATAATAATTTCATGCTAATCTCTTTCCCTTTTCAAGCTAAAAACAAAGGCACTTTTACTTTCAACATCAAAAACCTGACAATCAACATAAAATGTGTGTGCATGAATGAATACACTCGAATCGATAAATCGCCATGCAAACTATAACATAACTGCTTCTTATCTTTCATGCTATTTGAAACATAACGAAAAATTATTCCAGAAACATACCTTTAAAGGTACTATGTCCCATTTGCAGGCCAAAAAATGAAAAAGTTAAATTCCAACTGCATTTGAAAGATAATACTAATTTAGAACTTCCCTAAAAAGGTGGGGCTTGAAAATGTCTTCAAGTGGGAAAATAACGACTTTTAGTTGTCAAATCGACTTTAGGGCTATAGAGCCCAAAAGTAAAAGTCTTGATTTTCAGACAATTGTACCGAATGGTCATACGTTTTATGCTGCGCAAAGTTTCAATCAGTTTAATCTTGGCCATCATAAGAAGTGGGTTATTGATGTAGACAAATGCTCATGTACCCTTTGCAACTCTATTCATGTATGTTATTACCAAAGAAGAAAAAGGCCAGTCATGTTGTAATATGTTATTATGACACTCAATAGTGTCTGACAGTGAAGTCTAGCAAGTAAACGGGTTTCCTTGCATAATTTGAATATGAGGACACTGCTAAAGTTTAAATTTTACAGATAGGACATACATGACATATTCATAATTCCTGCAAAGTTCTACAGCATTTGAGGTTGGCTGCAAAAGGGACATAGTACCTTTAAGTATGGGGTGAAACTTAAGGAGTTAAAATGAAATCTGGAAGTCATACCGAGTAAAACTGCTACAAACAAACTCGGACGATTAGTAAACTGCTGTGTATAAAGTCAAGTGTGCGATTTTAAAATGTTGCTACCATGTAGTTTCTTGACCAGTCGCCTAAAAAAATAACAGTCATAACAAATTACAGTTAAAACAAATCATGTTAGATAAATCATGTCATTTCATGACACTTGTTATGAAAAACTAATTCTAAATGCTATGATAAATTTGCTCTCAGCAAATCAAATGCCACGATTTCAGTAGCTTATAACAGTTATTGTAACTTGTTACTGATAACAAGTTTTACGAAATAGGGCCCGAGTACACAAATACGGAATTGTTGGAATACGGGTGCGGAAATATAAAGCCATATATTTCGCATTCTATCACATTCTTCTCCACTGTTTTATGAAATTGTGGAATTCGTTAGTTTCTTGCATTTTATGGTGAATGTTCTCCATTATTTAGAAGAGTAACTTGTTTTGTCTGTCTTGGGGACTTTTTTTTATATATTTTAATGGCTTTTTGGCTCCCAGCTTATTAGGGTATCCCATATTGTTCCAACGACTTTTCAAAACTTGGTAGAAGACAAAGACCTGAATAGTCAATCATTTCGATCATACAATTTTACCCCTCAATTGATTGAGATCATCTAGGTCATTGATAAAACGTGTGGTAGGTAGAGTGAAGCTGTCCTGTTACACTCCCCCTTTAATTGTCAGGTGGCTTAGTGTTAAATTTTAAGGATACCGTTACTCGGCGGATAAAAGCACCATATTTGGCACGAGGCTTCCTTATTTGCCACGGTCACACATTTGCGTACCTTTGCGCAATTAAACGTGCTAACTACGTACTCAATACGCAGACTAGCGCATATAGACATGCGTTGGTCCGCGCTAGTTTTACAATTTTCTAAACTATCGCAAGCAAACGCAAGCTCAAATCGCCTACGAGCGGATACGAGTGGCAACCAGTGAATGCGAGCAACAGCAAGTGGCTTAGCGCAGGTATACGAATCATACGAACCTCTTTTTTTTTTGGATTGAGCGCGTGTCACTGCCTTTAGTTGCGTTTCCTGCACGATTTAGCCCATTGCCGTTCGCATGATTGCACGTATTGTTTCGCTCTCTCGCTCTCTCTCTCTCTCTCTCTCGCACACCGCTCACAGCAACAATTAAGAACCGTAGCCTTTAAACAAGGCCACATGTACGATAGACGCCGATCGACTAAAAAGAGACTAATCGCGGAAACCCAAGTGACCGTCAGGGCGAGTAGCGCAGCCAAGTAGCCTTTAGTAATCTAGATTGGATATCTTATGTTAACCTTTGTTTCCGACTGGAATTCTTTACCGAAATGGTAGCGTCCAATCAGCGAACGTATCCTCGCATGATGTCAGCATATAGTATCCATCACACACACACATACACACACAAGCACAGTAAACTCCACGCAGTACGAACATGGTCTACTATGAACTAAGAATGACGTACGGGCTAAGACCACTAACCTCTACATGGAACGAAAACGAGTTGGACTGGTTCATTTTATATACAGGGAAAGTCCAATTATCTCACGTATGATTGTTGCATAAGTCATAAAATGCTTGCTATTTAAATATAATTTTGCATGTAATAGATTTGAATGTGATATTTTGTATCTATCATTTATATGTCCATCTCATAAGCAAGACTTATTTACGTATTTTACCTTTTCTTATATGTTTTGATAATGAACGAATCACGAACGAAGCTAACTGGGAGATGGCCGTTCTGATTGGTCAATAAATCCAAAGTAATGAATAATTCATGCAGAGTAGTAAAATCTAGATTGCAAAAGGCCTCGTGGCTAGCGCCACTCGGTCGCGCGTTCACCCCGGGTATCTAGATTCATCTCAGCCGCTGTTTGGGGTGGAAAATAGCCAGAGTCACGAGGCCTTGTGCGATTACTACTTGCTACGCGGCGAGTCTAGCTCGTACGCCGTTCGCTTTAGCTCGCAGTCGCTGTATGGTTACCGCTCGGTTTAGCTTGCTATCACTGCGATTGGGTGCAATGCACCGACCACCGTCGTTGCGCTGCATTTCGGCTATAAAAGATGTAGACTCGTCAGAAGCTAAGATGCTTATGACTAGTATGTATACACCGCCGCAGCCTGAGTGAGCTGGTATGCTGTAGAGCTAGCTGACACCGCCAGCGTATTGACTCGTACTGCTATGAGCCACAACGAACTGTAACATGGTCATATAGGCAACCGTAGGCAGTCTTTGGTACGAGCAGCATACGAACTGAAACTGCATCAGAATCTGAACCTACGAGCTAGATACGCAATAGTGTGACTGCTACCTTCAAATTTGCGGCGTATTTTTGGGCACGGCTGCGTATAGCCTCTTGTCGATGGCCCTGTCGTTGTTGGGGTCCATAAATTCTGGCGGCTTGCGTGTTGTTTCTAGCTCGTTTCGTCAACTAATGTTAGCCTATGAGCCCTCCGGAAGTTTTGAAAAAAAATCATGTCTAATGTGGTCGAGGTCGAAGTCTTCGACGTTCGCAGGACTATACACTAGACACCTCGGGTATTGGAGTGCACATGGGAATTACGTGTACGTTAACTACATCACAGTTTACGCCATAGATTACACCGTGGTTTACATCCTTAACGCTGAAGTTTACGCCATACATGTAGTTAACGCCATTTTTACAATAATGAAATACCGAGGCATTAAAACTACCTATCCTTAACCAAATACAATCTTCATCTTTACGCTGTTAGAATAACCCTAATTATTCCAAGAATAATCAAAATGCAAATGATAACTTTATATTCTACTTTCATAAAATATCTTCATATTCCTGGTA